ATGAATGCACTATCTCACTGTGCCAGCGTCCCTACATCGAATCAATCGTCTGACACTTCAGCTTTGATGAGTTAAAACCCATATCAAACCCCATGGAACCTAGCACAAAGCTGCACTCTGGTCAGTCACCCTCCACCGGTGCTGAATACACTGCGATGAAACACATACCGTATCGTGAAGCCATTGGCTCACTGATGTATGCCTCCCTGGGTACCCATCCCAATATCTCATATGCCATGACCACTGTCTCCCGTTTCTCCAGAAACCCTGGGATTCCCCACTGGGAAGCAGTTAGAAGAATATATTGTTACATTCTTGGAACCAAGAATTTGAAGTTGACATACAGCAGGACACCCAACATGCTCGTAGGATACGCAGACGCAGATGGAAGTATGGTGGAAGACCACAGAGCGGTCTCAGGGTACACTTTCTTGATAGATGGTGGTGCCATGTCATGGTCCTCAAAACGACAGGAAATCATCTCACTGTCGACGACTGAAAGCGAGTACATGGCAGCCACCCACACAGCCAAGGAAGCCTTATGGCTTCGGTCGCTCACCGGAGAGCTGTTTGGGCCACTTGCTGAACCGACCATGTTGTTCTCAGATAATCAATCACCTATCGCACTCACCAAAGATCATCAATATCATGCATGCACCAAACATATCGATATCCATTTCCACTTCATCCACTGGGTCGTTGAAAATGGCAAGATCCGCTTAATCTACTGCCCCACCACTGATATGGTTGCCAACACCCTGACTAAAGCTTTACTGTTGCCCAAGGTGAAGCACTTTTCTGTCAAACTCGGTCTATGTCCTACTTGAGGGGGAGTGTTAGATTTGGCAAGTCGCATGTAGCCCCTTCTGAATGCATCCACTCTGGGTCATGAAAACTAATTTCTGCTTTAGACCCTTTTCTTACTCAACACTATTACTGAACGCACAAACTAACGCTCTGTGTCCTTATGTTTATTGTATTTACAGTGTCTCGCACTTATGTGTGAGTACTCTTGTTATCCACGAAGACCATAGCACATCTCACAATGAGACAATACTTATTGTAAACAGGTTCAACACCTGGTGTTTCACTTCTATTGTTACATTACAGTATTTAGTTCTGCACTGTAGACCCCATCATGTCAGACATTGTTGCTGTCTGCACGTGACTGAGGTGAGTATGATATCCTTCTGCTTACTTTACTATGCTTACCGTGCACCTAGTTACTTGTATAGATACTTCTGTGACTGTCCATATGTTGTGACTATATTAAATGATATTAGTGACAGGCCTGTCTTGATATTTTGACTGGGTACATCTTACTGGGGCCAGGCCTGCCCATATGTTGTGACTCTATTGTATGATACTAGTGATGGGCCCATCCATATGTTGTGATGCTATACATGAGATTACTGACAGGCCTGTCTTTATGTTTCGACAGCAGTGCATCTTACCATTGACAGGCCAGTCCATATGTTGTGACATTATGAAATTACATTACTGATGGGCCCATCTTTATGTTGTGACAGCAGTATGGCTTATTATGAATGGGCCTGTCTATATGTTGTGACACCATAAATGATATTACTCCTGGGCCCATCCATATGTTGCCAACTTTGTATTCTAATCATAGACAGGCCTGTCCTTATGTTGTGACCCTCTCCATGTTATGATAGGCAGGCCCACCTTGATGTTGCAACAGGGGTGTAACCTACCAGGACAGGCCTGTCCATGTCTTACAGCAGCTCAGTATACTTAATTGGTCATGGGCCCATCTAAATGTTTCAACATCCTTACCCACCAAGGGCCCTCCCATATGTTGTGGTAATGCACTTGTGGGCCCATACATATGTTGCTCTCACTTTAGTCCCTCAGGCCTATCTCAGGGTCAATATGAGTGTTGGTGTTTTGACACACAGGCTGCCCATGTGTTGTGACTAAGGGCCTGAACAGTAGTGGAATTTCTGCTTCCTTATGCAAAACATATATGAACCAACTCTGTGCAGAGTTCAGCAGACTTCTAAGTTGATACTCAGCTGTGGTCATATGGCAATCGACCACTTCAGGTAACCATTTTTCATAAGCATTTAGGCTGAATAGTTTCTCCAAACCATCCAGCCTAATAGCCTCCCAGACCAAGGTCTGCCCAGGGACATCTGGTCATGTCCCAGGGCTATGCAGATTTTTAGGCCTTGGGACAGATGGGATTTCCCACATAGCCATCCATTCAAATGCAATTATTTGGGATGTCCCAAGACTGCCTTGGGTGACTGGGGTCCCTACTCCTGAAAGTGCAGCTTATATTAGCATTGAAATAGCTGCAGAAATCCTAGCCCCCTTGCTCCTCTGACAGATTTAATCCACAAAGTATCCTTTGACCTATACATCCCCTCCCATCCCACCATGCATAGTAGTATACAATAGTACTTTTCATGTACATCTTTGCAATGTGATTCTGCTGTATTGGGACATCTCACTAGTTTCCAGGGAGATGACCCACCTGGGCCTCCACATTTGCCTTGAAAATTGCAATAATAAATTCAATCAATTTGTGTCTATACCTCATGCAATTTGTACTGTATGAAGGAAGAACTGAATGGTTTTTGAACACTTGTGTGACAAGCCAATATCTCAAAGTCACCCACATAGAACATGGGGTTGGTCACCTTTGCAACACCATCTGCAGAGGGCAGAATGTCCCAGATGAGCCTCTGAGGTCATCATGGGGCATTGTGCTGGTCTGCAAAGATAACTTAGGAGGATGTGCCATCATAGCCTGCTTAGGCTGGGATGGGACATCCCACTGACTTTCACAAGGGGACTTGGGATGTCCCACAGCAGCCTCCAAGGCTGCCTTGGGACATCCCACCCTCCCCTTTGCCAAGCAGTGGGATGTCCCACAACAGCCTCTAAGGCTATGTTGGGATGTCCCACCCTCCCCTTTGCCAAGCAGTGGGATGTCCTACAACAGCCTCCAAGCCTACATTGGGACATCCCACCCTCCCCACTGCCAACCAGTGGGATGTCCCCCAACAGCCTCTAAGCCTACATTGGGACATCCCACCCTCCCCTTTGCCAACCAGTGGGATGTCCCACAACAGCCTCTAAGGCTATATTGGGACATCCCACCCTCCCCTCTGGAAACCAGAGGGATGTCCCAACACAGCCTCTAAGGTGTTGCAGTTGTAATCTGCACTAATCCTACAAGCACCATAGAGAATCCAATGCAAGGTAGCTCCATGGTCAGAGAAGCTGCTTGACACTGAGAGGGTCCTGGCTCAATGCCAGCTCTGGTCACATTTTCATCAGGTTATGAGCTGCATCTGGAACCCATGCATGCTCAGTACAATGGGTCATGCAGCATCCTTAGTAAGTCCAGATCATGTGAGTTACATGGACACAAGGTGGCTGATAGTAAGGCCTCCTGGAAACACAGCAGTAAATCCTGATCCATCACATGACACAAGGTCAAAAGGCAATCAGACCATTTGCATGACCCTAGGGGGTGTGCACTGTTTTTACACCCCAAAAGTGGCCAGATGAAGGGACCACATTGGAGATAGTGCATTCTGTGCATTAACTTCATGGAGATATGTTCCCACAGTGCTAGTCTAAGCCCCCAAGCTACTGACACTAGTACCCAGACCATATGGCTCAGTGGTTGCAGCACCTGGTAAACACCTAGGAGGTCACTGGTTCAATCTTAGGACTGGTCACATTTTCCTCATAAGGCTACATTGGGACATCCCTCCCCCCCTCTGGCAAGCAGTGGGATGTCCCATGACAGCCTCTAAAGTTACATTGGGACATCCCTCCCCCCCCTCTGGCAAGCAGTGGGATGTCCCACAACAGCCTCTAAGGCTACATTGGGACATCCCTCCCCCTCTCTGGAAACCAGTGGGATGTCCCACAGCAGCCTCTGAGCAAGTGGGGAATGGTGCATTGCTCTTCACATAGTCTTGTTCCCATGTCACTGGTTTACCCCCATGCTACTGATATTAGTACCTGCACAATATATATTTGCTCAACTGTTAGAGCACTGTTTATCACCTAAGAGGTTGCTTCAATCCCAGCTCTGGTCACATTTCCATCATAAAGCTACATTGGGACATCCCACTTCCCCCTCTGGAAGCTGGGGGTAGTGTTGCTGTGGCTCAGGGAGCTGTCCTCAGCCAAGGGTCATACCACATCTATATTATTGAGTATTAAAATAATTATTGTGGATTTGGTATGTGGCAACACAAGGCTACATTTGGTAATAGTTGTCATAGTGACTAAGCTGCTTGTTGTTGAGCAGGTCAGCCTTTGGAGCTGAGCCACAGCAACACTAGCTGAGGCTATGTCCCAGAACACCCTCTTGGGTTATATTGACATTCCACCCCACTCTCCAGCAGCCAGTGGGATATCCCACAACAGCCTCTTAGGCTAAGTTGGGACATCCCACTGGCCCCCTTCTGAGACTGGTGTGGGGTATCCCACCCTCCCCTTTGTCACCCAGTGGGATGTCCCACAATACCCTCTAAGGCTACATTGGGACATCCCACCCCCCTTCTGGAAAGCAGTGGGATGTCCCACAGAAGCCTCTAAGGCTACATTGGGATGTCCCACCCTCCCCTTAGGCAAGCAGTGGGATGTCCCACAACAGCCTCTAAGGCTAAATTGGGACATCCAACCCTCCCCTTTTCCAAGCAGTGGGATGTCCCACAACAGCCTCTAAGGCTGCATTGGGACATCCCTCCCCCCTTCTGGCAAGCAGTGGGATGTCCCACAGCAGCCTCTAAGGCTACATTGGGATGTCCCACCCTCCCCTTTGGCAAGCAGTGGGATGTCCCACAACAGCCTCTAAGGCTACATTGGGACATCCCACCTACCCCTCTGCCAACCAGTGGGATTATTCTACATGTTACCCATGCATATGTCTTGCAAACATGATGCTCAAAAAAAATTCTATTTAAACACACCAAATAGATTATAATATGTCTCTATCACCCTTATCTGTATCAAACTCTTTTACTTGGAGATGATGGTGGATCCATATCCAGTAGGTCATTCTCCCATTCTTCTCCCCAATGGAATTCTTCCAATGGCATATCACTTTGTTGGTGATATTCATCTGCCAGGGCAAATTCTTCAGCAACACTTAGCAACTCATCATCCATCACTTCATCCTCATCCTCTTCACCCTCTGACTCCAATCCATCAAACCTCTCCTCATTATCACCATCAATATATATAACATGACCACCCTGCACCATGCTGTGCAGTTCTTCATCACTTGCACCCCAGTTCTCATTAGGTGTTCCAGGATAGCCTCTAAGTTGCCTTTTCCACAAGATGCACAGACCTGCTAGTCTCAATGCTCTGCAGTCAAGTTCATATGCAAGATCAACATCTGCAATGTGTGTTAGTCATGGTAATGCAATGACACATGTCTCTTACCAGCACTCTGTCTGGTTTTCTGCACATGACCCCACTCTTCAGAAAACCACTCTGTCAAAGCTCTTCTTTCCTGCAACAGGTGCCTTTCCTCTTCTTCACAATGCCTCAGCTCAAGGAGTGATCTGATCCCTGAGTGCACTTTTTCATCAGCTAACCATGGGGGTAGTAACCCATCTGAATCATCCCCAAGGCCAATATCCTGCCAAATATCATCATCCACATCCAGTTTGAACAAAGAGTCCCTTGGGATCAGGAGTGGGGCTATTGACCCCTGAGGAGCTTTTCCCTTGTGTATGAGGCCTACAATTTGCAGACACAGATTATTGTAGCTACTGGCAAGCTTGGCTATTCCTGGTTCTTGTCGCTTCACAGATGCTTCTGTGTGGTTTTGAAGTCTTTGTTCTTCAAGGTAAGTCAAATACAAGGGTATTCATGAATGATGACCTCTTACCACTGAGAGTCTGCAGATATGAGCATTCCAGTCTTTCCAACTCAAACTTCTGTTGGCACAGACAATCTCTGATATGTTTCTTGATTGCTAATGCATGCATGCGAAGCTATGGAACATGGTCTCAATTAGATGAAACCATGTAGAAAATACACTGCCACTAACTTGAAGATAAGCACTCTTTTGGATACTAGCAAGATTTGAATGCCCATTTATGCCTAGGGTTGCCCTCTGGTTCTGCAAAGCTTCTTTAAAACACTTAACCTTTTGATGACACTCTGCAATTTGGATATTCTAGCTTGTCATGTCAGCAACCCCATGGAGAAGATCTTTCTCCAGCACTTCTAGCTTGGCCTCATAATTTGCCAATGATTTCTGAGTTGCCATGATTTGCAATATCATATTCTCAGTAGCTTTAGAGCTGTGACCTAATTTGATGGTGAGCAGGAGTCATTATTTATATCAGCAGCTTACAAGGAGCTGGCTTTGTCTGTGCAGAGACTTGAGCAACCCATTCAGCTTGAAGAGTTGGGATATCAACTCCACATCTCCTTAGGCCTCTGTTTGCAGCAGCCTTCTTTTCTTGGCAATGATTCCAGTGACACAAAAGCCACTGGCCCAAACCAGTGAGACTCTTCATGTCCAGGTGGCACACCTGGAAGTCAATAACAAAGAGGCATTGATGATACTGAATAATATGTTAGCTTGAAACAGATGTGGCATACTGCACACATACCCCAGAAACATGAAGAGATGGTATCAGCCCTTTGATTGAACTCCAAAAACACTCACATCCCTCTCCATCAGATAGCCCAAATCCTTCACATTTTCAGGGGTGATAGATAAGCTGACATGCCCATTGATGACCAAAGGCAAGAAATACTGAGATGGCAAAAGAAATATGTGGCAGAAATGACTTGAGAAAACCCCACTTCCTGCAGCTCTGTTCCAGTTGACAACCTATGTCATATAACAGCCCAATATGAAAATTATCTGGGAGATGAAAAAAAAGAGATTTGATGAGGGCAAGTGCATAATGTTGCCTCTCCCCAGCTGAAGTCATATTTGCAAGGTAAATGACACAATCATGATGACAGAGTAGGGCCATGACACCAGTATCTGAAAAGAACTGGGTACTTGCCTACACTGCCATCAGACCAATGGAGTCAGAATAAATGATTAAGACTCACTTTCTGGTGCCTCTCATCAGCTGCAGTAAAGGACTCATTATAACCCTTCAGCACTGACACTGTTATCCTCATTCCCTCTTCAAACTCATCCTCCCCATCACCAAGATAATTCTTTTTCAAAGGCTGTCCACTTCTCCTTTGGGTTGAAGACTTTGACTTTTGCAACTCATTAACCTCATGCTCCATAGCACAAATATCTTCTTGTGAAAGAAAGACTGTAGCTGTAGGGTTTACTGGATCATCTGGATGCCCACTTCTGCACTTCTGAGTAAAACAAGCATCAATGCAAACAATTGCATCAACATCAGAAAAGCTAGAACAAAGGAAATTTTAGCAGTTGACAAAACTATATCCACCAAGTGACATACCCATGTTCACTATTATTGCTCTGCCAGCTCTGGCCACCAAAGCATAGAGGACAATGCTGTTGTAGGTATTCTGATGGCCTCATCTTTGAACTGAGGACATCATTGTCTGGGGAACTTGGCAATGGGATTGCAGAGGGGATGTTTGATGGTGGACTAGCAGATTCTTGCAGTTGTTGTTGGACATATTCATCAAGGGATGTTTCCAGAATACAATACCAGTGATATGCATTACTGAACCTCTGGCATATACCCTCCTGCAAGTATCATCAGCAATGATCCATGACTGAGAAGAACAACCAAAGTATGCATTAATAATATAGCAACATCACCACAAACAATACCAACAAACATCCTACCCTATCAACATAACACTACAGCAGTCCCAAGAAACAGAACATGTCACACATGCATGCACTTATAACCATGAAATAGTCATGCATCAGATTAAGATATACTACCTACATAGCAGAGTCATCTGTACTACAGTCACTAGGGCAGTAATGTATGTTTTACAAAGTGGAAAAAATGGGGTAATGATACAAAACATGACAATTCCATACCTTTGTGTCCACCTCATAACCCATAGCTGCAAGGTATGCCTCAAGGGACTCACACCATGCTGAAGTGTTTGGAGGTATGCACAAGCCAAGAAGCTGTAGGCTAACAGCAAGTGTTGGCCCCAGTGGGGCACAGGGGAAGTAGCCCATCCAAAGGAGTTGGAGGGCTGCACAAGGACAGACAGCCAGATCAACTGATTGCAGAGCTGCCATGAATGCATCTAAGCAGAGGAAAATGATGAAGAACACAGAAATCTCACCATTGAAATCAATGCGAATGACTCTCAGTTTTTGAGTCTGGTGACAACCACACATCAGCAGTTCATAGTCAACAGGATTCCAGAAGTGGTTGGATAGTCATTTATATGCAAGGTATGGCTGAAGGAGGGAAGGGATGACAATGTGCAACCACCACTGCCATTGCTTCATTTTTTTTTGGGCATTCCTAGATGGTGACAAGAGCGGGTCTTGGCTAATATGTAGTCCATCGGTTAAGCAGTCAAAAGCAGCATCATGGGAGAGGTCACATTCACTACCCACAGAAGGCTCTAATGGGTGAGCAGCACTTGAAGCAGAGCAGCATTGGATGTGTGGGTTGGAGGAATCACTGGGGTGTTGTGTGAAAGTGCAACAGCCAGGTAAGGTGAGCAAGTGCTCAACAGGAAGGTAAAGCCCCACAGTTCCAGGAACACAGTGCGAAGGTTCAGCAGTCTGATGGTCAACAAGGACCATGAGATCATCTGCATGGAGCAAGTCAGGAATCTGGTTTGTCAGGGTGGTAACTCATACAGAGGGACCACACCTAGTAAGCTGTTTCAGTCGACGAAAAGACATCTATGAAATTCAGTCAGACACATAAACTGTCTAGGCAAGTTAGTGGTAGATGACGATCCTGCAACACCAAGTTACAGGACTGTGACCAGGACACTGAATCCTGGTTGCTGGAAGGCAACCCCAAGATGCTACCAGCACGTCTCCAATAGTTAGCCTCCAGCATAGAAAAGTGAACTGACCTTTGCACATGACTAGTGAGGGTGATGGGGAAAGAGACAGAGCAAGTGTGTGATGAACAAAATGAGATTGCAATTGTGGCATGCTATGAATATCATTTGGGAAACATACAGAGTAAAAATGGTATCAGGGGATGATGAAGGAGGTTACCGACTATTTGAACCATAACCATGTGGTGCAGTTGGAATAAGGTGGGGAAGAAAGGGCAGATGACCAAAAGTATCAAAGAATGACTGTACATAAAATATAGCCAACTTCTTTTCCATTGCCCAGACATGTGATGATGATGCTAATGGCATAATTGGCTCTGCCAAGTCTGAGGGGCATCCTGGCCATACAGCAAGTAACACCCAGAGCTTCTCTATGTACTCCTGTTTTGATTGAAAGTCAGATGAGCCAAGGCCTTGATTTTGCTGAGGGAAAGGCTCAGCACACATGGTGAGTTCCAAATCACCAGGGAAAATCTGCATAGAGTTCAGAAACAGTGCATTCCTGGTGAGGTAAAATTGTACTTACCTGCCAGACATGATCAAGCCACTCTGAATCCCAATTCAACCACAAGCTAGGCATCATCACATGGTCAAGAGCAACCAACTCAAACTGGAAGTTGTGTTCATATAAATCCCATAAAATCTTGCTTTTCATCATCTGATCAATGGTAGTGAGGTCTGTGAGGGAAATTGAAATATCCCAGAATTGTACATGGCTAGGTATGTCGTGTTGGAGGCTGATGAGCTTGGGACTGAAGAGGGTGGCAGATTCATGTAGTCAGTTGCTGGAAAATGTGGATGAAATCTGCTTGGGAATTGTGTTCAGGAAATCCTGCCAGGACCAAGGGATAACAGGAGATGCATCTGAGGCAGAAAGATGAGTGATCCAACCTGCTCGAGAGACTAGCCAATTCCTCAGGTACCTCTGCTGGTGATCAGAGGACTTGCCCCTCACAAACAGACTTGGGCTGGGAAAGAAGTAAGCTACCTTGGGTGCATTGGGACTAACCCTTTTTGCATCCTTATTCATGTCCTTCAGGGCAGCATGCCATGCAGACATAGCAGGGGGAATAGCTGGATCGCTGAGGTCTTCCTGCAGTTCAGGATTCAGAACAACCAATGGCTTGGCTCCTCTCAAGCCTGCAGGGGGATCTGAGCAAAATGTTAAACACACTGAGACAAAATGAATAGGTTACATACATGGCTGATCACATTGTTGAGCCCTGCCCATCCTAACAGCTCCTGTACTTGAACTTGCACTGCTGGAACTTGCAGCATTGGAAGCTGTGGGACCCATGCTTGTGGGAGTCAAGGCCACACCACTGCTGGTGTGCAGTGGTTTCAGCCAGGGAGCTGCAAATTGCTCAAGCCCAATTGCTGGGCCTTGTCAAGTGTGCCTGTGGTACAATTCACCAGGGTGGTACCAGGCACTGTGCCATTTCAGCATCTGCCCAACCTCAAAAACCTCAGGATCTGTGACTATGTCATGAGGGCATATAATCTTGACAGTCTTCAACGCTTGCATGTCTGGGGGTACATGATCAGGTTTCCAGACCATCCAGACAGGCACACATATTTCAAAAAGGCACTGGCAAATGTTGGGGTCTGTCATGAATGCCCTGATCCAGCAGTCAAATGAATCAACAAAAGTGCCCATAGCAGGGTCAAGGTCTGTGTACAGATATTCTAGCATGCCAAAGATGTCTAGGAGGAGGCATTGACAAAAAGCAACCAATATGACTGTGTCTTGAAATGTAAATGGGAGTTGCTAGAGAAAATTTTAATTAACGAAATCTGAACCAGAAAAAAATCATGCCTTCAGATGCAGGAGACATCACCAACATGACCCCAGCCACAAATTGGGTCTCAGAGGACCTTTGTAGTGGGGGTGCTTCTTTAGCAATCTTGCAAATGTTCATCTAGTTGATTATAAACAGTCTCCATTGACTTCCACTTGTCAGCATGAATCCTTCCAATTTTGAAGGCAGACCCTCTTTCCAGCACAAAATCCTCTGCTGACTGGGTAATGTTCCACCACAGCCACTTCCATGTTGGGTTGTCTCCATAGGCCACTTTCCAGGGGACACATGGACTCCATGTGTAGTGTTCTGCAAACAGCTGTGGCCATTGAAAACAGTCTATATGGCTGAACCATCCATCATGTAGGGGTGTGATTGTTTCTCCATCAAAGATGAAGGGTTGGGGAACATAGTCAGTGTTTGGCGACATGATCCAGTGGTCATCACACTTCACTAGGAGGTGTGCATCAAATGCACCCCATCTCCCTGAAAATAACAATAATCAATTTGAGCTGAGTTAGGGACAGTGAGAACACACCATTGCCAGGGTGGTTGCACAATGATAATTCATAAGGGCAAACACTAGCTACATTCATCCTGGAAACAAAAGAAGTCAGTCAGTACTTACTTAAATTGACAGAGATGATGACAAGGGGAGAAAAAAATGAATCATGCAGTGTTAAGGCCAGTGTAACTGAAATGAAACAAGCATGTTGCCCTCAATAGGCCCCAAGCCTATTGAGAACTTGCAAGGCACCAAACCCCAGAGCACTTGGCAGACAAATGCTCCAAACATTTGCATAAGTTGACTGGATGTTTGAAAGAAAAGTATGAATGAAAGAGAATAAAAACTTACTTTCAAAAACATCTTCTTGACAAAGAGGTGACAATGATTAGTGTATTGACTCTGCACGTGTAGACTATGTTATAGGCCCCAAGCCTATCAAGAACTTGCAGGCACCAAACCCCTGAGACCTGATGGACAAATGCTCCAAATGTTCATGGAAAGAGCAACTGGGCCATCTGGAAAAGTAAGATGGACAAGATGGAGGGAAACCTACCTTGCACTGAATTGGTTTATATGGAGGGGCATCGGTGACTAGAAGTAGTAGGTAGCACTTACTAGTAGTAGTGAGAAATATTATGGTTACTGCTGTGCACATGACCTGCACTGCAAATGAATGTGATGCCTGACTTACAGCATGCTCGAGGAAGACATTGAGTCTAGGCTCTAAATTGTCAAATAATCAGGTGATTAGATATAAGTTTTGTGTTCCATATTTCATTCCTCAATGTTCTGGATTGCCTATTGTAATATTCACGGGAGATGTGTTCATGCATTACAGTAATGACATGTTGATAAGCTACTTATAGCAAGTCCTAGTTACAAGTACTAGTGCGCCATTGCTACTTTGTTAATAGATTTGGCCACTTTTACTGATGTGACTAAAATGACAGAATTTTAACATGTCATTTCACAATTGCACAATTGTTACATCATCACAGCCAAAACAAACATTCGCACCACCCACAGCTAGTACTTAGTGACACTCTCATCTTCTGTGCGCTGTCCACATGGTATTGGGGGAACACTCAGTGCATTCCTCTACCATATGTCAGGGGCTTGGTGCCCTGGACAGCCTTGAAGGCTTGGAGCCTTCAAGGGTGGTCTTGGTGTCCAGTGGATCCGATGATCAATTGCATGATGACAGTCAAGACTGACCCTCATCTCTCAGTGACATTAATGAAGGTTTTGCAGGTCAGTGCTTTTGACTTAAATTATGCATCATTATGCTTCGCAGTCTACTGACCCATTTACCAGTGCATACTATGTGTACTAGGTCCATCATTCTCCCCACCTCCAGCTGCACTCCATTGTTCCACCTGGCCAGTATATGCCTTCTATAGCAATGCCCTTGTCTCCCCACTCATCTACCCTTGGCACAGATTCAGTGATTGATCATGTGGATGATAGTGCAGTTCTCCCCTCACCTTTTAGTCCTGAAGATTTGAGTTAGCAACACATCCATTCATATCTATCCCTGCCAATCAAATACATGGTGTGTTCCTCTATGGTATCGGAGACTTGGTGCAATGTTACCTTCAAGGGCAGTGATTCTGATTGTTGATCTCAAGTTCTCCTTTCTACTATGAATTTTCTCCAAGTTGCCTCATGATCAACCATGCAAAGTTCTAACATGGGCACATGGTTAGCTTTTCAGTGTATCTTATCCATCGATTTCTGCTACTTCCTCCAGGGTATTACGAAGAGTTGCATCACATCTAAGTGCATGATTTGTCATGGTTGAACTTCTGGTTTTCCTGCAATGGCTTCTGACAAATGGGGAAAGGGAACAAGGTAGCCTTCTGCTGGAGATCTGCTGTCATACTTACAATTCTCTGCACATTCACTCTCCAGCCTTTCCTTCCCATTCCCTGACCCACCATGTCCAAAATACCTTTGCCCAGTACTGGATTGGATATAAGCTCTAGCAACCTTAGTACGTGTTTTTCTGACTAACTCCTGACAACTAATGCATTTTGGCACAGGTGCTCTAATTACTCTGATCAGAAACCTCAAATTGAATGCAGCAGATGCTGAAATGCTAGCAAGCACTTTGTTACTAAGATCTCGTGCTGAAGGTGAGTATGTTCTTAAGTGACATTTCTGGACTGATCATATTGCAGCCTTCATAGGGTCATCTGGCTCGCAACCCACATACCCCATGGCAGCATTATGCCCATCAAGTCTGGGGGTTTCAGGATTGTTGTCCTGAAAAGAGTGTACACCTGCCACCTTATCCCCCTTGATCCCCATTTACACAGAATTTCCCACACTGCCAGTATTGATACATTTAATGCCATCTAACTCAACTGATCCCTCCACTATTCTTGTCTGCAGCCACCCAGATCATGAAGCAAGGGTTCCATATCTAGTGGATGACTGTGTGCATACTCCCACCAGAATTTTTTTTACCATATCCATGTAAAGACTAACAGCTATTGTATTATCTGTTGGCAAGTATTTCTCACAGCAGTCTCCAATTAATTACTATGAAGTATAAATCCTGAGGCCATGTATTGCATATGGCAGCCTGACTGTGAGGCAAGTCACAACTCAGCACTTTCCATCCTTCATAAGAGCTAGTTCAGAAACCTTGGGTAAGTCACAATTAGTTCCTTCAATGCTTGTACATGTTTTTCCACTGGGGCAGTTCGCATAGTGAGTTTGAATTGAGTTTGAAACATGTCCTGTGATGGATTATGATGATCTGGATCAGCTTAGGCTTGCCTGGGTATTGGCTGCCACCATTGTTGCCCTTGTATCCTAGTACACTCTGGATTCACTAACTCACTCGATGCCTAATAAGACTAGTGCTCCCACTCCACAAGTTCATTGGAACCATGAAGAAACTGCTGCTCTTGTAAGGTTCCTGCATGACAACTGGCATGAGGCAGGCAATAACAGGAACTTCAAGATGGCTACAAATCAAGCTGCCACCCTGCATATCACCAACTATCACACAGATGGACCTCCTAAGAACTATCAAGCGGTGAGAAACAAGTGGACTGGCTATGTAAGTCAGCATTGTAAACTGCTTGTGATTTTTACTGATCTTCTGTCATAGATTCGAAAGATATATCGCAATATCAAGTACTATTGAGCACAACCATCTGGAGCCCACTGGGACAATGAGAAGGGGGCTAATATTCAGGGTCAGCATGCTGAGCAGGTGTTCAAGGATTTTGTGAAGGTATTTTATTTTTATTTTTTAACCCTGTGGCTTGATGAACTGACAATTACTCTTAGAGTCACCCCCTCATTTGCCAGTTCAAAATGAGTGGATGGGATTTATATCCCTACATTGCAGATATCATACCCCATGGTGGTGCCTGTGGGGCCAATGCCTTTAGTCCAGATAGTTCCAATGCCACTGCTGACAGCCTAGACAATGGAGACAGTGGAGTGCCAACCATTCAACTAACCACTTCCACTTCAGTGCCTTCTGAATCTGCACCCTCCTCCACTCCCACACCCATCGAACCCATATCCACTTCAGTGCCTGCTGATTCTGTGCCAGCACTTCCCCTAGTCCCACCTGGGTCAGACAATGACCATTTCCCATTTTTCGATGATCCACTGTCTACCATCAACCCATCCAACATTTCTATCCCTCCATCCAGTGCTCTGTTGTCTAGTGGGAAGTGGTCTCACACTGACATGCTTGGTGACAATGAGGTTTCAACTACCATGTCCATTTTCCCATATGCCAATGCAAGTGACATTTCTGCTACTGCTCCTGCCTCCAACAAATGTGCCAACCTCTCTGGCACTTTGGACTATGCAAAAAGCTCCCATTCCTGTCGTTCTTGCAATCCTCCACCTCTGCCTTCACTTGCAATATCAAACCCTATCATGGTAGGCCTACAAGGCTCGATCAACTTCCTCACTTCATCAATCAACACATCAATGACATCTGCCATCAATAAAGTGTCAACAATGAGGGCACAAGTGATTCATTTACTGGACAATCAAGACCAAGATTTCCCCAGTCCCATCAAAGTGTTCATCTGATCATTGATTGTGCAGAATCTTGGCATCGCTGATGTATACTTGAGGACAGCAAAGAAGGAAGATCATTTGGCACTTGCTGAACTTGAGTATCAGATAAAACTCAGGGTTGGTAGTTCTCAGACCTGTACACAGTAAAAAATACTATAGGTAGATTGATGTTTGCTGTACCTCCATACCTGCTATCATTGTATTGCAATCTTTTTTTTTCTTTATCAAAATCTATCTTTTTTTTCTTCATCACACATGAGAGATCCAAAAGTGTATGTATATTGCATGGAATGGGAACAAATGAACTATGCATCTACAACATTGATATATTGCTCATACTGCTACTGGTGTTAGTGGAGTCATCAGAGCTATAGTCATCACTACCTGAGGGCAATTGCCCGAGATCCTGCAATCAAATGATTTCCTGATAATTGTCCCACATAAGTTGAGCAATCTGGGCACAGAAAGTGCATGCCACTTCAAGCTGACCTACATTGGGATTATCTTTGTCAGCTCCACCCTCATCCACCAATCCCCCAGGCCCTCCTGCACCTCACTCATCTATGTGGACATCCCGCCCTGGCATTGGACCTTCTTTGGCATCATGAGTACAGATGAAGTTGTGCAGTGCACAGAGTGCTGAGGGGATTCAGCCTTGGACATCGATGTTGTACTCAGGGCTTAGTAGTAAGATGCGAAAACAACACTTGAGGACACCAAATATTTGCTCAATGACATTGCATGCAGATGAGTGCCAGAGGTTGAACAATTCTTCTTTGTTCCTGGGTCTTGTCAGTTCAGCAGGATGATAAGATGGATAATTCAAAGAAAATTACCTTAAATGTGCTTGGTGCCACTCTACAAGGTGGTAGTGAGTCACCCAGTATGGGGCTAGAATTTCTGGGTGCAGGGGGAATCCAGCATCCACAAGGAGAAACTTTCCTGTTGGGATGTCAAGCCCTTTTGTACATGCATCCTGGTATACATGTGCATCGGTAGCCGAACCCTCCCAACCAGTCAATGAGTATGTAAACATCAGCTGGAAATCGCAAGCAAACAAGCAGTTCTGTGATATGGAGCCTTTGCAGTTTCAGTACACTGCCTGGTCCTCCGACACTGGAGTGGCATGGATATGGCTCCCATCCAATGCACCAATTGCATCCTTGAAATATGGCCAAAATCTTTTATCTCCCCTAATCTTTGGCTGAATATCATCAGCACCAGGCATCTTGACATATGTGAAATAGAAGGGTGACAATGATAGGATGAAGAGTATCTTGTGAAAGTACCTGATCAAGGAGGTTAGAAAAGTATTGGAAAACTAAGGGTGATGACATACTGAGATATGGTCTCATTTGACTGTTGAAAATGTTCACTGATGTGCCTGATAGTCAGACCCATCACACTCATATAGAGGAAAATAGCTAGTTTTTCTTCAAGCAAAATGAATTGAGAGTTGCCATGACTGATCTGGTGAAGCTCCTCCACAATTCATGCAAAGACATCAGTGTGAACACCAAGTTCACATTGGATTCATTCTGGATGACCTGCAAGGAGCTTGATAAGCCATTCCTCACTGGTTAGTGCTGACATGTGGTAAGGCTCTGGAATCCTTCAGATTGGTGTAGATTGTACTTCAGTACAACCAATCATGCAGAGGATGATATTGACGACAAGAGCAATATGGCACAGCAAGTGTTGGTGGTGAATCTCCTCATGATCACCACCAATATTGACATCATCCATCTTGCATACAGGAGGAAATGTTTCAAACTCAATTCAAACTCACTACATGAACTGCCCTGGTGGAAAAACATGTACAAGCATTGAAGGAACTAATTGCAACTTACCCAAGGATTCTGAACTAGCTCTAAATTTCTACCATTCAAGCTCTACCACTTAGCAGTGGAACACTTGGAGCATCTCTCTGCTAAATGTCATGGGCTTGGTGCCCTTGACAGCCCCTGAAGGCTTGGGGCCTTCAAGGGTGGTCTTGGTGTCAATCCAGTGATCAATTGCACAGATGACAATGACCCTTGTTGCTCAGTACCAGAGATTCATTTCAGCAACAACTTCACCCAAAGGTCATTGTACCTCTGACATTTGGTCTACATTATGTGCTCAATTTGGCTATCAATTGCGTGAAAGGGACTGTGTCTATTGGACTGCATCAACCCTGCTCTCATCAGTGACTGCCCTTAGGGGCTTGAATGATTCATTTTCCATCTAGTAAGCCCATTCCTTTCTCTATTGCTGGATACTGATGAACTCTTGTGGTTTTTCAGTCCTGAGGAAACCCACTTTCTGGGTCATGCAGATGGAATACCACTGTTCTGGATTTCGATTGGAATTCCACCCATATGTTTCCATTTTAATAGGTGTGTCATCCTTGCTATGCATTACAACCACTTCTTTCCTGCATGCTTTTCCTTCGTCCCCCTTACATTGTGTCCTCTTTCATGGTTTCATATGTCCTTGCTGATGCTATATCCAGAACTTTGCATGCTGAGACAACATGTTCTAGACAGATTTTTTTTCCCATATGGTTCATCTTGGCTTGATGTGCTCTGACCTTAAATACTCACCTTGCCTCCCCCTGTTTCTCAACACCCCCATACAACCATGCCCCACTCTGCTGATATCCCAGAGCCTTCAAGGGACTCCATTGCCAACTTGAACACTCGCATTCTTCACAACCAAAGGATTCTGTCCTCACAAAATGCCCTGGTTTCCAAACAAGTAAAAAAGGTGGTGCTGTTGTCAGTGAGAAAGAGGATGACCAGCTGCCTGGTAGTGATGACGATGACAAGGGTTCCAATTACAATGAGAATGAGAATGATGATGAGATGGAGAGCTTGAGTGACTCCTGTGGTAGGTTTTTCCATTTTGTATCCCTCATTCTCTCATGTTTTTTTCAGATAATTCTCATTTCTTTTGATTTTGGGGTTTGGTGCCTCTCTGGTCATGCGATGGTGGGCTTGGTGCCCACTTGTGTTTCAAAGCTTGGTGCTTTGGATACTCATGACCATTTCCTGCCACCCATCATTCCCTTGGTTGTTATATAGATAAAGAATTGTTGTGATCCTGTTCTGTTTACCATCTATATATGCATCTGCCTCATGTTGACATGTTGACTCCTAGATGATGATGATGCACACACTCACAATGCTCAGACTGTTTCTTGTGCCCAGTCCCTGCTTCCCCTGTCCTCACCACCCACATACAAGTCTGATGACTCCACCCATCCTGTAGGGGACATTGTCCATCCTCACCAAGAAGGTGGCCTGATCTATACTAGACTTCAGAAGAAGGGCAAAGGTAGGGCTATAGATGCTGAGGACATTGATGCTGCAAACCACAGTGACCATGACACCCAACTCCCAAACCTCAAGAAGCTGGGGAATCTGTCCACAGCAGCATTAGATGAAATATGTGCTTTTGTGAAGGACATCAAGATGACAGCAGAAGAACTTGGCTGGCAGTGCAGGCGGTCTACATGTGACATACTTGTCACTGCAGGATTTAGTGTTAAGGCTTCTCATACCAAAATTAATGAGGCCAACCTCTTCTGCTCGTGGTATTGGGCCACACAGCCCAAACCAGATGGTGGTATGGCTTGCCTCCCTCTCACATCTACCATTCTAACATCCTGACCAGCCAATTGAAATTCAATCAACAATTTGATTACAAAGGAGTACAACGCCCTCATGATAGGCATCCCAAAGGATGACTTCATGGCAAGGAGGGAAAAGTTAAAAGCCATCTATGAGTGGAGTGAGAGCTCCTCCACCATACTGACTAATTGATCTGTCAAATCTATTGCAGCTAGAGTGGACAATGCAAAGACACAATTTTCTGGATTGGTATGTGGTTGCAACTGTGCAGCCATTGATTCTGATTGTTCCACAGGCAGAGGTGTGGTCCAATCTCGAGGATATTGAGATAGTTGGAGCAGTAATGTATGTTGGACAGGACCCTGCAGGACATCAAACTTCTGGTGTATTTGGAGGCTCTGAGATGATAAGAAACTTCATCAATGAAAATGGCATTGATGTCTGGTCACTCATGGATAAGTATACTGCAATTTTCAAGTAAGTTTATTTCTTGCATGTTTCATTCAACCTCATTGGATTGTTGTAGGTGTCTCAGGAACAGTGACAGTGTGGATGCCAGGGTGGCTGGCACTGGTTCCACTGGAGATGTGGGTTCTGTGCTGGAACTACATTGCCATACAAAGGAGACTCCAAGAGACCACAACTGCAGAGTATTTGGAAGCACGATGAAGGAGAAGATGTTGGCTGCATTGAGAGATCTGTGTGGTAAGTTATTCTTGTGCTGTACATGCATTTATCTTGATCCTTTGCTCAGTCACACATGGCATTAAAGTCAGCAATCCCCAGAAAGTTTCCTGGTACCAGCTTCTCCAGTTTTTGTGGAGGAGCCACCTCACTATTGTCAACTGGCCCCATGGTGTATCTCCACCAGGCCCTGGTTTCAAGTACAAGAAACTTAAGGCTGGCCCTCTTTGTCAACTTGTAGTACCTTGCCTTCAGAGAAAACTGAGTCTTTTGTATGACAGGCAAACTGATGATCAGGAAGAACAAGATAGTCTGGATGATGTGCTGGAAATTGGGATTAAGTGCTGGAACAAAGGTATTCCCTATTTTATTCATCCAGTTGGATGCTGACCCTTTGAAGGGTGAGATCACACTCATCAAATCTACTGATGGTACTGTTTTGCAGCAGATCTCAGATGATCCAGAGTGGCAGAAGTCCCTCAAGGAAACAGATCACCAGCAGCAAGGCATCGAGGTCCTTTGACAGCCACAACCCTGACTGCAGCAACAACTCCCTTTTCCCTCTCGGAAGCGACCCCATGTGGAGGCATCAAATCATGATACTATTGGTCCCCAGATAAGTTCTGCTCTTTACTTGATATCTGGTATCTGCTGATGTTTGTAAGGCTTTACAGTCTGACTGTTGAACTGTGCCATGCAATCAACACTGGGATGCATGCCCCATTGCACCAGATTCACATCATGACCCATCCACAATTCCAAGCAATGTGCACACTTGAGAGCCTGGCCCATCTGAGCCTCCCATGCCAGCTCTGCAATATGGGGTAGGGTTTGGTTCCTATGGTCTGATAACAAGACTAATGAAGCATCATATAGGATCTACATTGGGATAATCTTCCAAGCCATCCTCACATGCAAGAGGCTGGCCCAGCCCAGCAGTCTTTTCCCAGATGACAAGTGAGTATCCAGGTCTCTGACTTTCAGTAACAAGACTAAGGAAAAATTATGTAGGATTCTTGGGGTGACCATATGAACTATCATGATCCTGGTGCATCTAATATCCCATATCATGTGAGTAATTTGATTTTGCAGAGGTTTCACTGTCGACTTGCATTCTCTCTAGGTGTTACCTTCTGGCCACCACACTCAATTTCCTCTGTCTTGCCAAGGATTCCATTGCATTCTGTCTCGAACCAACCATCCTTACTACAATGGTCCATATACCGATGACTACTACCCTCCAACCCAGTTAGGTGAACCTCATTGGGTTAACAGGGGTAATGCTGCACAATATGAGGATGACTTCACTGAGGAGTATATAAATGAAGATTACTACTAGTGTAGTTTTTGCTTCCCCTACAACATATTTGTCATGCACTGCTTGTATATTGATGTCACTGGTGTCAGCAATGATGTTACCATCAGATTTGGGGGACAAGTCTGTGGCTCTCCACTCAGTCCTGTGCCTTTCCTATCACTTTTCACACCACTCATTTCCCTTGCCAAGGCCTCTCTGGGGGGGCCTCTTTTGTCTAATTCCATGGAGCCACTATTGAGATATCACCATTTTTGTGTTTGGAGGGCAGTGAGACAGTTTTGCACATAGCTCAAGATCTGATGGTCTGATCATGGTGGCTCCTTTTTTTCTGTGTTTACCTATGAGTACCCGACCACCCTCCTGAAGCCCATGTTGATCACCCCAGCTGTTGTCCTGAGGTCATCACCTGCTTGTTCACTTGCCCAGAGTTACCCCTCTTATCTTGGGGCTGTATCTCAGTGGTTTCTCTGACATGTCTTTCACTTTTTTGCAGACTCGCACTACTAGATGACGACTCCCTGGAGATGTCTAGATCATTGTGATTGGTGCAGTATTTATGGAGATGTTCACATTTTTGTGGCAAGGCCCACCCCTTGAGGTCCTCTCATTGTACCTCATGCATATCTGCACCACTTCTCTCACTTTCCGAGCCACAAATCCCTCTCACTGACCCATTTCAGGGGTGCCCTTGTTTACCCAATTCTGCTTGCTCATTGTTGAGATATTCCCACTGTTGTGTTTGAAGGGTTTTGAGGCAGTTTAATGTATACCTCAAGATTGGGTGATCCAATCAGCATTTTCCCTCTTTCTCCCTGATTGCCTGGGAGTCCTCTACCACATGCCATAGTTTTGTGTCAGTTGCCCTAGCCATTACTGTTACATTTCAGTACTGGCCACTTATCAACTCTTTGTTAGGGGCAGTCCAGGGTCAAATCACATATGGTACCAATGTCCATCACATGTCCATTGCTGTTAGGCACTGTACATGATGCCTCAATCTGTATATACAATTCCTGCAGTCCTAGCTACTGTGTTTGTGCCTTGTTGCTCCTCATGTTACAGCTATTTTCAAAACTGAGAGCAAGGCCAAATAAACAAAATCACACACATATAGTAGCTAAATGTTATAACTTTGATATCTCAATCAATTCAAGTCAGATCACCGCAATTTTTGCAGATTCAGAATCAGGGAAATTAGATGTAGGTCCTGGTGTAAAAATTAGACTAGTTCTAGCACTATATAAGTCTGAGAAAGCATAGGCTGAGTTCACATATACAATCAAAATTGCAAGTGATCTAGGCATCTGTACACCTTAGCAAACTAATAGTGGTCTTCTATACATCAATTGTCCAGCAGGCTTTCAATGATATTTGGGCAGTAGAGAGCCCTCTGCTTCCAGATGTTCATTGCACATATAAGTAAGATTGGAAGCCTATTATTGCATATTTCCTCACACAAGATTCATATCCTTGGAGCCCTGTGTATCATCTAGAGAACAGTACCAAAAATTTATGCAATTATGCATTGTGTTTTTGTGATCTGAACTTCTACACCTAGTATTGTCATATCTACACTTGGTGGCTGCTTGCCAATCATGTGCTACCCCCTACCTGTGTCCCCTTGCCTCACATCTCAATACTTGCTTCAAATAAAATCATAGTAGAAGGACATGAGATTGAGAAATAATACAACACTTGAGACCTGCAGAGTATGATTGCTGGATACAATTTGAATAGCATTCTTTGGGTGCCATGACTATTTCAAGCAATGATATGTACAGGACATTTTGAGCCATTGAGTGAACCTGATCATGTCAGCAACTACTCATGCATATGGCTACACCCACTCAAATGCAGTTATTCACTGCTCACTGCTCATCTGGTCACTGACTTTTCATCTCTGCACATATTTTTTGGTACTGTTCTCTAGAAATTACACAGGGCTCAAAGGATATGAATCTTGTGTGAAGAATTGTGCAATAATGGGCTCACAATCTTGGTTATATGTGAAATGGACATCTGCAAGGCAGACCTGTGTCTCATTGCCCTGATTCTGAATCTCCAAAAATCATGGTGATCTGACTTGAACTGATTGGTGCCATTGATTGAGACTGTTACAATGTGACAATATATATCCCAATTGTGGGCAGAGGGCAATGTGGATGTCAGAGATACAGGGTAGGATGTCCAACATTTTCCCCAGAGGGGGGAGGGATGTCCCAATGTAGCCTTACAGGCAATTGTGGGACATCCCACTGGTTGGCAAAGGGGAGGGTGGGATGTCCCAAAGTAGCCTTGTGAGGAAAATGTGACCAGTCCTAAGATTGAACCAGTGACCTCCTAGGTGTTTACCAGGTGCTGCAACCACTGAGCCATATGGTCTGGGTACTAGTGTCAGTAGCTTGGGGGCTTAGACTAGCACTGTGGGAACATATCTCCATGAAGTTAATGCACAGAATGCACTATCTCCAATGTGGTCCCTTCATCTGGCCACTTTTGGGGTGTAAAAACAGTGCACACCCCCTAGGGTCATGCAAATGGTCTGATTGCCTTTTGACCTTGTGTCATGTGATGGATCAGGATTTACTGCTGTGTTTCCAGGAGGCCTTACTATCAGCCACCTTGTGTCCATGTAACTCACATGATCTGGACTTACTAAGGATGCTGCATGACCCATTGTACTGAGCATGCATGGGTTCCAGATGCAGCTCATAACCTGATGAAAATGTGACCAGAGCTGGCATTGAGCCAGGACCCTCTCAGTGTCAAGCAGCTTCTCTGACCATGGAGCTACCTTGCATTGGATTCTCTATGGTGCTTGTAGGATTAGTGCAGATTACAACTGCAACACCTTAGAGGCTGTGTTGGGACATCCCTCTGGTTTCCAGAGGGGAGGGTGGGATGTCCCAATATAGCCTTAGAGGCTGTTGTGGGACATCCCACTGGTTGGCAAAGGGGAGGGTGGGATGTCCCAATGTAGGCTTAGAGGCTGTTGGGGGACATCCCACTGGTTGGCAGTGGGGAGGGTGGGATGTCCCAATGTAGGCTTGGAGGCTGTTGTAGGACATCCCACTGCTTGGCAAAGGGGAGGGTGGGACATCCCAACATAGCCTTAGAGGCTGTTGTGGGACATCCCACTGCTTGGCAAAGGGGAGGGTGGGATGTCCCAAGGCAGCCTTGGAGGCTGCTGTGGGACATCCCAAGTCCCCTTGTGAAAGTCAGTGGGATGTCCCATCCCAGCCTAAGCAGGCTATGATGGCACATCCTCCTAAGTTATCTTTGCAGACCAGCACAATGCCCCATGATGACCTCAGAGGCTCATCTGGGACATTCTGCCCTCTGCAGATGGTGTTGCAAAGGTGACCAACCCCATGTTCTATGTGGGTGACTTTGAGATATTGGCTTGTCACACAAGTGTTCAAAAACCATTCAGTTCTTCCTTCATACAGTACAAATTGCATGAGGTATAGACACAAATTGATTGAATTTATTATTGCAATTTTCAAGGCAAATGTGGAGGCCCAGGTGGGTCATCTCCCTGGAAACTAGTGAGATGTCCCAATACAGCAGAATCACATTGCAAAGATGTACATGAAAAGTACTATTGTATACTACTATGCATGGTGGGATGGGAGGGGATGTATAGGTCAAAGGATACTTTGTGGATTAAATCTGTCAGAGGAGCAAGGGGGCTAGGATTTCTGCAGCTATTTCAATGCTAATATAAGCTGCACTTTCAGGAGTAGGGACCCCAGTCACCCAAGGCAGTCTTGGGACATCCCAAATAATTGCATTTGAATGGATGGCTATGTGGGAAATCCCATCTGTCCCAAGGCCTAAAAATCTGCATAGCCCTGGGACATGACCAGATGTCCCTGGGCAGACCTTGGTCTGGGAGGCTATTAGGCTGGATGGTTTGGAGAAACTATTCAGCCTAAATGCTTATGAAAAATGGTTACCTGAAGTGCAATCAACCTCATACACCACTACACCATTGAGACCAGACCATCACTATGGTCAAGAATTGCCTTATCACTGCAAGGGATGAGAATGATTTGGATGAGGAGGATGAAGATTCTGATACCTCATCTGATATCACTTGGAGGGTGCTACTCTTGCAGCAGATTTGGAACTATGTGGTGGTTGCCACTACACTCAGGCTATACCAGGCTGCAGTCTCGACACTTTGAAGTGCTACCCCAGAACCTTACCATACATCTGCTCTTTCAGGACAGGGATGGCTAAATGAGTTGCTTAATGGGCACCCCAAGCAGATCAGAACTAAGCTCAGCATCCACAAACATACCTTCCTCAGGCTGATATCCATCCTTTGTGAAGGGGATCTCCAAGATTCAAAGAATGTCATGTTAGAGGAGCAGCTGGTGATTTTCCTGTATGCAATGGTGACAGGCTTATCAGCTTGGCACATCAGTGAGTGATTCCAATGCTCAATGGATACAATATCATGGTGAGTGCACTGTCATTTGGATTTAAATTCTGCTAAACTTTACCCAGGTATTTTAAATGAATGCTCCATGCATTCTCCAAGGGTTGCATTTATACCACATACAGTCACCTTCCCAGAGCTGATTCACCAGTCCCCAGTCATATTGCCACCAATCCCAAATTTTATCCATACTTCAAAGATGCCATAGGTGCCCTCAATGGTACACACATCACATGTGCACTATCCACAAGTGAACAAGACCTTATGTGCAACCACAAGGGTTTCTTATCTCAAAACTGTCTCATCGCATGTTCATTCAATGGTATCATCACATATGTTCTCAGAGGCTGGGAAGGGTCAGCTGCTGATGCCATGGTCTACCACAATGCCTGCTTGTGGGACTTTGCTATTCCTGATGGGTGGTATTACCCTGCTGATGCAGGGTATCTGTTGACTCCACAGCTACTTGTACCATACCATGGCCAATGCTATCATTTGGCTGAGTGGGGGCAAGCCAATCTACAGTTAGTACCACTACATTTTTATGTGCATTTGATTCTCATTCATTCCCTAC